TTTTTTAATTATGGTACTCATAAAGCGACAATACTAGTTGTACCACACAATTTTTTTTTTTACTACTATTTAAAAATAAACTATAATTTTTGACAGAATGGACTCTGTTGGTTTATACCTAACAGGTGGTACCTACTCGAAAACCAATTTTGGCTTATAAACGATTGGCTTCTTGTATCAATCGAAACCTTTAGGTATAACCGCTTTGCCCTGGTATGGACGGGTCTTCCACGTACTTAACAAGAAAAGAACGATATAACCACATTTTAATAATAACAAAAATAATACACCTACATATAGTGTTCAAAATGTCTATCTTAGTCCTCAGTTTGCCCCCGCTGGTCCGTTTAGAATCTAAAACGCGAGCTTAAACGAAATCGTAATTTTCGAACAATGTAAAATTAAATTCGTACTATTCACAATCGCGTGCCGTTATATTATTAATAAATTCCATTATAAAATAATTTCGAACGTCTTGTCAGCGCGCGCTGTATAACCTGTATACTAGAGGAGAGGTGTATGTACCTAAGCGAGTATATAATATATACGCATAATATCGGTGGCAGGGTGGTTACTGGAGGGTGGTTACTGCAGGGTATATTGTATTACAATATAATATAGGTAGGTAGTATAACACCGGGTAAATATTATTATGTTGGTTTAATATTATGTAGATTTCGCGGTCGGACGAAATAAACGCAGGCCAGGTGTACACTCGTTTACTTAAATGATAGTCAATAATATTGTTATATTATATTTTTTATTCAACGTAATACCAACGGACATTGATATACATAGTAACACTATAGTCACCTGATAATAGTGATATGCATTCAGACACTCTTCTACTGTAAATCGTTATAAAATGCAATAACTTTATAGTATATTATATAAACATTTATAAAAAAATAACTTTTATAACTTTTTACCAAAAAATGTAATTAAACTAAAAAATGGTATATGTGTAGTCCTTGTCTCTGTGAGTCTATTAAAAAAACAGATTTACGATGTATTTATTATCTCGGGAGATATTTCAATGGATAAATCCTCTCGGGACACCCTGTATATATATTTAATATATTTTGTTATTTTTTATCATAGTGATGTTATAAGTTTCTTGTTATTATTATTTTTCTTATAAATAGCAACCCTTTATTTTTAATATCATACTTCAGAATATTTCCAGACAAATATTTCGCTTTAGAATGCAAAATTCAAAATACCTAAAAATGAAAAAAAAAAAGTCACAACGATAAAAATATTTTTGTACAATTATTTGAGTTGCAATACATTTTAATACATGCATAAATGAAAAGGCAAAATTAAAATGTTCATAAATACAACGGTTGATTGAAAAACGGATATGGTTATGAATTCACATCAAGTAGTTGTGCACGTCAGTAACCCTCTATTATGGTCACATTCATTTGAATGTTATGCATTTCTGTATTTGTTATATTTAGAAAATATTGCAGTTAAACTAATTTAAGTACGTTTTAAATTAATGTTTGTATGACAAAATTACGTGGAATCGACTTTAATAAACTACTTTAGGTACTTTATAGGCATGTTAAATATACAAACCTATTATATAAAACCATAAATGACTGAACATAAAGAATATTGTTCATGTCATGTTAAAATATTGTTTTCATTTATATTTTAGTTTTTACTAACTATGCATTAAAATACTTTATTTTTTTTTTTTTTTAATTTCATTGAATCTGAAACCATACAATTATGTGTAGGATTGTTATAATTCATAACTTGTAACTATTAAAATATAATATTATATTCAATCAAAAGAATATAACGTCAAATAATCATGAATAAGTATGATGATACTTTTTCGTAGATTTTTGAAAATAAAATCGTATTGCATTTTTTAGAATTTTTAGAGCTTCTATTGTGTTTTGTAGTGCATTTTTGCTTTATTTTGAGCGCTTTTATTAGTTTTGTATCACATAGCTTCAACCTCTTAAAGCTCCAATTCAATCTATCGACGAGTATACATTTATGCAATATGTGCGATGTACCTACATATTATTATAAACGTCGCATTTATGTATACAGAGCGTAACACAGTGTTATTGATCAGTGCTTTTGTTTGTTTTATTTCCTTCCGAATTCAGTTGGCGTTTCAATGACGTTGAACCCGAACGGCGTGGGAGTAAAAGCCGAACCTGTGATGTCGACGGGTGTTGTCGGCGTCGGCGGTCCGAGGAAACAGTCGGCCACGAAGACGTGAATGACCACGACGGAGGATTGCTGCGACGGCCGTGGCAGCGGAACGTTTATTCTAAAATACGAGTGGAAATCGAGGATCAAAATCGTTTATTATTTTTCGTTTTTAATTTTTATTAGACAAGACAACAAAAAATACACTCCCGTTACGATATAATCATGATATTATGTATTACCCGTATTATATGATATTATAATTTTGTATTCCGAGTGTCATTATTATATTACTATACGACGGCATCAGTAGGTATATATTAATTATTTATAATATAGTATTATAATATTATTATTGTTATTATTATTATTATTATTATTATTAACCTTAGATAAACTCCAGTCCTGTCATGATGTACAAATTTATCTATTAATACTATTAAACTGCACGCACACACAAAAAAAAAAACGACCAAAACACGACCAAGTAATGTGTATGCATTAATTTCCGACCAAAGATCCACGACGTTCGAAGGTATCTATATAATGGGCAGCAGCCACTATATATTTAGTATAATATTATATTTGGGCCCTCTCTCATCGTCATCGTTAAGATAATAATATTATAATACAGCCCTCTCGTTGCTATAATTGTATGCGCATCGAGTAACACGTGGTGTAAATATTTGATTTTTGATTTGATTTTTTTTTTACACGACATTTCGTTTTTGTTAACGGTTTCCTCATATTATTGTTAAAATTAATTTATACTATCGAGATTAGCAAATCTCGTCACTCCCAAAAACCATGGTCATTCGGCTGTACCTTTATAATATTATGATACGTACGGGGTAATTTTTTTTTCAACGTGAGACACTCATAAAACGTCACATTGTTTTTTTTAACTATATAAACGGTTATAAGTAAGTATTTATATCTACGACTTAAAAGATTAAATTTTTTATCTTACCTATAATATTATAATATACATACCTACATAATATTATTATTTATTATACATAGATTCGTTTAGATTTTGTACTTTTTTTAAAAATTAGTGGTTATCCCTCGCTACTTTTGCACTCGTCTATAAGTTAGTATCTAAACATTATAAACAACCAACTATTGGTACAAGTATAGGTACCTATAATTTTGTAAGTATAAATATTAAAAAATATGTATTCTTTGTCAGGAGTATTATATCCTTCTCCAAAATATGAAATAAAAATAACAAGAACATATTGATATGATAAAAAAAATAAGTTAATAAATAGATAATAATATTATATTATAATCTACTTTAAATTAAAAGCTATTTTTTACAAACAGTGTCTTGCGTCACAAAAAATTCTCCTCGTACATGTATTTATATATTGTGATATTAGATAGCTAAATATTCGTGACGAATGTGTCTTTGATTATAGTTGAAATGGACTTATATATTATGTTGGCCATCATCGACGGTGGTGTGACCTGTACCCAAAGTCCCAAAACAATATTATAATATACGTATGTGCTATAATATAATATTATGTGTATAATGTATAATATATTATGCGTGTCGTTGAATACGAAACAGCTGAACAAACCAATAATAATAGATTTTTTTTTTATTATTTAAAATATCCTTATTGTGGGATTTGTACGGTTTTACAGAGAAAAATTTGCTCACTTTTAAAAAATAATAATAAAATATAAAATAAATAATAGACTATAAATATTATATTATATAAAAAATGTGTTGCACAGAATTATTTTGTTTCTATTCAACAACTACGTTACAACACATTATTATTATTATTATTATTATTATTATTATTAATATTATTCGACAAAAAAAAAAAATAAAAAACAAAAAAACATTGACGATTATTTATATATATATTATATATAATTTATTACATTTTTTTTATGTAAATAATAATTACTCTAGTAGATTATTTATGCATAGCAGTATTATCTACGATCATTTTTTGAATGCACCAAAAATAATTAGACAAAAATAATAATTTGCTTCGATAAACAATACAAATTAATATTCTCATTTATATATTATATATATAATGTCGTTCTTAAAATGTTTATGAAAAAATTATATTATATGTATTAAACGTTACACTTAAACATTGTATTTAAAAACATTTTATACTCGTTTAGAACTAAATTTATTATTATCATCAAAATATGAACATGTTATTATACGATAATTCTATTATCTATTTATAATCAAATTATTATGTTTTATAGTTAAATTCTGTTTCTGTCCACGAATACTTTTTTTCTCATATTTTTTGTTCTTTATGTTAATTGTATAAGTTATGATTATGTTATTATGTTTTGATATTCATTTTACGTTCCCTGGTTGTGATTTTTAAGGTTGTTTTTATGTTATTTCTTTATAAAGTTTTATTACATCATTGTCGTTCAAACTGTGGCTGTGTATTTTTATTTTATTTTTTTTGATTATCACTCAACAAAATCCAAACAGGAACACCACACACACACACGCACACACATACACACACAATCACGCACATACAAAATATATAACCTAACCCGTAGTCAGGTCGTCAGGAACGTGTCAGGTACGGTGGTTAATAATATTATATAGTATCTATAAAAGAGTATAATATATATTTATAGGTATAAAAAGTAAGTATACAATAGTAAGTATCAATATTATTAAGTGTGTATTGTATAATCTTTGGTGGAGTTGGCTTCGGTGAGGCGCACACGATGTCGCCAAATGTGTTCATTTTCTCGGTCTTGTCACACGGTCGGCGACACCTTGTGTCGTTGTGCGAAACAAAATGAAAAAAAAATTACGATGAACACTGCAGTTGTTCGTATCTGATGCACATTCCCAAGTTGTCTTCGGGATTTTCTTCCCTGTTGCCTGGTCCAAACTGCACTCGCATCACGAATGGCGTGGTGCTGCCTGTGGAGAAATCAAGTTAACTAACTGGTCGGTTGCTTTAACTTAGCAGTTACAACGAGTAAGTATGTACGATATTGTATACAAGATGACTTTTTTAACACCATAAGTCCAAATTTAGCAAATGAAATGTACTTTAAATGTCATAATGAATCGAATTTGTATACCAACCAAAATTATAATTACCTATGTTCATGTTTTGAGATTATGAAACATAAAATACTGTTTGTTATTTAAAAATTACTTAGATTACTATCACTTCAAATAATTTAAAAATATTTCACACGAGACTTGACGGAGGGAAATTTTGTAAGCTCCTTTCCTTACAATAAAAAATATCATTTCTTATAATATAATATACTACACACATCGTTCTCTATTGTAATAGATTCTGTATAAACTCTATAATTCTCTATATAGTTGAGTAATATTATATATAGGTACTCACTCTCGATCCGGCACGGCGTTTCCTTGTCTGTGCAGAAATTGTTCCCGCAATGAAGAAGATCACATATTCCAGGGCCACCTTGAGGCTGTGGAGTGTAAAATAAACAATGCGTACAAACAGCATACGTTTAAAAACGACTAACCGACTTAAATGTTGTAAGTGTAGCGTAAGTGATAAAGATACCAACCGTTATGAATTCTTCGGAATCGCAGGGCATCATGACACGGTCGCTGCACTCACGGAATACGTCCATGGACACCACCTGGCTCCCACCTGGAACGTCACCACCTTCATCTCCTGAACCCTCGATTCCTGTGTCTACGCCGATGATAACAATAATAAGAATTTTCAAATCTCATAATATGATTATTTAAAGTATAATATTATTGACCCCCTCTCAACTCACCGGAAAATATCGGTGGTCCGATCTTAAACGAGTTTTCGTCGCACGGCTCATAAGCGATCGAACACATACCTGTAACGCCAAAACTATTTAAATGGTTCATCAATAAAATAATTATTAATTAAGCTGCAGAACTCCTCTTTTTAGTGAGGTTAGGGGTGTCAAGATGTCCTTTCTTTTACTCCCCCGTTATCTTTGTACACCGGCTTGCCTATAATTCACATTATGCCGACCTATTATAGATTTACCAACTGATGGCGCTGATTTGGCCGAGACCACTGATTTGGCACAATATTGTAGGCGAGTTAACACTTTGACACTCCTACCTACGTGAAAACACTAGAACGGGACCTCAGAATGAACAAGTTCATATAACAATCCAATACAAATAGAGAGTTGAAAATATTAATATCAAAAAGGTATTCTAAACATTTTTATTAACATTGACTTTTGAAACGCAAAGAATTAGTCAAGAGTAAAAACTACGAAATTATTTTTTTATTTTAATTTTAATAAAATTATAATAATTAAATAAGTTAAAATGTTGTAAGTAGGTATTTATTATTATACGATTTATAATACCTATATTGTTCATTTTATGTACATACTACAAACCGTTGAGGCAACGGAAAGGTATATAAAGGTATACATAAAATAACCCTACATTACTTAATTTAAAGAAATTGAGCGAGTTCATGAACTAGGTTCTATGTTACACTTATGAACTACTTAGATTTTGTCATAATTTATAAATACATATTCTGAGGTCTGCAACTCGAATGGCGCCACTGAAAATACGACGTCACTAATTATATAGGTACCTACCTTGTTCTTGTCGTATGCAAATCACGTAGTCTTGGTCAGCCAGATGTCGGCCGTTGACCGCAAAGTTCATAGTTTGCACTGTGCCCGTGACTTCGTGGAAATACTGAAGACATCCGGCTGGCGCACGCTGAGAGAACTCGATCTGTGTGATCTATATATTATAAAAATAACGCAATTAATTCGGTATATACTCACGACATGGTGACAATTAACGATATTCGAATGATGATTGATTATTACGACGACAACCTGTTGGAGTGAAGGTAAGTATAGTACCTAAATTGTATACTCACTTTAATCTCCCACATCCGGTTATAGTTGCCTTTGGTCAGCCGAATGTTGATCGTGACATAGTCTTTCGCGTCGTCCATATCGTAGTACACTGTGAAACGACAATAATAAAATTATTGTGGTAGTCCGTTTTAGACGTCGGTAAAATAAAAAATGTTATGTATCAAGCTACATGAACCCAGACACAACGCGTTGGTAAACAGCAAATCTACCGTTAAACCCTGAAGGGGAAGCAGGAGTCATCCAAAATCGATATCGTATGCAAGAAACGAAAAAATGAACGACCTTTTAGATCACGCATATCTATATTGTTTATAGTGGCAATCAACAAAAGTTGTCCTATACATTTCTCAGAATATTGTTATATTTATAATGAGATCGTAACCGCATTATAAATAATATTATATATATATATATATTATGTTAAATGTAGCTGTTCATGCCCCTCATTTCCCCTCCAAAGCATCGCTTACCGGCCCCCAACTGTGCATTCACACGCGATTATAACAATCGTCACTGTTCCGGTATAACGCTTGCGCACTTCCATTCGTTATAATATTATTTGCGCCAACGCGTCCTGCTGGTTGCCACCACTGTCGTATTGTGTGCGTTTCCAATCACCACCCTTTACAATGCGGTCGTGCACACACGCAAATGGTACCTATATACATCGCAACGTTTTGCAGGGTTTAAACCGCATCGCTTAGTGTGGTAACACGTGGTAGGTAGGTATAATAATACTAAAACGCGATAAACCACAATCGCACGAATATGTTGTTGTATTATACTCCGAGAGCTCGTGACCAAGCTTTAACATTGTCATCGCGAAGGCGTGCAGGTATAGTGAACCCGGATTTGACACGATTGCGGGTCGTCCGCCGTGGACCAAACCACTTACCGTGTTGGCCGCTGTTGAGACCGCAAATTCTCAGGTCGTTGGACGCTCCACCGGTGACGACGAACGTGTCCGTCTCGCACACTCCCGTTTTCCTGTTGGGCTGAGCCTGCATCGAATAATATTCATAAGGGATGAGAGTCGAAATTCGTTGATTATTATATTAGAATATATTATAATTTGTCTATAGGGATTATCGTTTCGAACGAAACGGGTCGGGTCCAAGAAATATGGTTGTTAAGCAACTCACTAGATTGAAGTTCACAAAGTCCAATCGTATCTGGCTTATGTCTTTGGATATCTTCTTGACACGCAGCGAGCATTCACCCACGTCGTCCAACAGCCCTGGGAAATTTGGGTTAACGAAGTACGTGACGTTGTTGGCTACTTCTGCGTTACAGGACGACGTGACTGTGGCAAACCACATACACAGTATAATAGTTATATATATATAAATATAATATCATATTATTAGAACAATCAACATAATATATTATTATATCATGATAACCAATGACAGTTCGGCTGCAGGGTACACCAGTGCCGTATATTATGTAGGATGTGTTTTTTTATTTGGTGGGGAGGTCTGTAATACCCGTTGGATATGGCTGGTCACTTCCCAAACATCTGTCGGATTATTTGAACAACTTTATATAGATATCTCCTAATATGTAAAAAGCTCGTGTCACGGTGTTATAGTGTTCGAACTCCTCCGAAACGGCTAGACAGATTTTAATGACATCTTTTTGTATATTTGGTAGGTATGAGAATAGGTCGTAAAGAATTTTTCACCTTCCTAGATCCAACCCGTGCTCAATCGGGGATTTTGAAATTTACGGTGGACATTTTTGTTTATAAATGGTTGCTATTAGTTATAGGAGAAATGATTAGTAAAAGTAAGTATATTATTGGGTAGATATTGGTTATTAGGGCAGATCAGATACAAGCGTGCATAAAATCGAATTTTTGAACATTGCCTACCAAGGTGTGGATGAGTGGCACTTAGTCCGCTATCCGACATAGTTGGATTGCCTAACAGGGTGGCTGAGTTGCACTTACTGCAGAGAGTTACACCTAAAAGGATTTGAACAATCATTATTTTTAAGAGTTGACATTTTTTACGGACAACAATAAATGTACGGGATCAGCTAGCATATTATATAAATATTTCTTAAACTATTAAATATATAAACATTGGTACGAGTATTACTTATATTTTGAGATATTATTTTATCAAGTATAAAATATAAAAACAGTATTTTGTATTACAAAAATAGGTACCAATATCATAATTTGTAAACCCACGGACACCGAATAAAGAATTTTAAAATATGTATTATTTAAATCTATTATGTATATAAATCCTACTCAATAGCATATTGTATGTAATGTACCTACATAATATTATTTTAATTTAATTTCACAGTGAATATAGCCATATGGGTATACAATATACATGTATAACAAATCCGCAATTCATGATGACACTTTCATTGAAAAATTCTAAATGCGGTACTGTGGAGCAGGAGAGAGGCACCACATATAAATTGTCCAATGAAAAACTGAATTTTTACACCAATTATTGAGATATAAGTGTAACTTTACAAGTAAAAATACAGCTTGAACTCCTCAAGACACCTCACCCACCAAAATAAAAATATGTCGTTACGCATATGCTTAAGAATATGGTGCAACTATGACAAAAATCTGTTATGGTTACAATTTGCATAAAACAATTAGGGACATGATTTAATATAAAAGTTGTGTGTATATTAAAGTTGTATACTTACAGACGCAACACACTCCAAAACCCAGAGCGCAAGCACCGTGAGACTCTCCTTTTTGTATTCTGCACTCATACGTGTTCAAGCACAGTCCTAGGGTGTGACACAATAATATTTTTAATTCAACACTCGTATGGTTCGAAATAATATATGAACAATGCGATGATAACGACATTGCGGTAGGTATAGTAAAATATAATATTATACTTTACCCGTTCTCCGCGAATCGTCGGACAGGCACTCTTCGGTCACCGGCACCGGGAAGAAATTCAACACTGCCATCAACAAATTCCAAAACATGATTAATCACGGGCACTCATCATGTATATATATCATATTATATTATGTGCATGAACGCGAAATAAAATCCTAGCGCACGCCCAAAAATCATCGTGTGGGAGAAACGTGGTGGCAACAGCGTGCTCCGACCACTATAATACCTAACATGTCATATTTTTATTATATTGTCATTATATTTTGATTATGATTCATCGAACGATTTTCACACACGGCGATCTGACGAGATAATTATAGATGACAAGGCGTCCGGTGTGGGTGGTTCGGAGGTATTTATTATATTAAAAAGAAGCACTTTTAGGAATTCTGTTACGACTATTATTTTTTTCCCCGAAACGAACACCTTTTTACCTTAATTACAATAATACGATATTATCGTCTGTACGCGTGTCGTGCGAAAAATATGTTTAGTTATTGGATAATTTATAACACTATAAATTGTACGATGCGAGTTTCGAGCGATCATTATCCCGACACACATTCTACGACGGTCGTCAACTGTAGTGGTGTCACAACCCAAAACCACTGCAGTTTTTGAAACTACATTATATTATACACACTATTTATTACCTATTATTATAAAAAATAAAAAATTAGATAAATAAACAATTCATGCTATTTTTACGATGAGTAATAATTTTGTCTAATACACAAAGGACACAAAGAACAAATTATGATAGAACCTATATGGTCATGCCTCTTTAGACGTTAATATTACTATTAGTTTTCATAATAACATAATATTATTATAATACAATAAAAAAATATACGGTTTTTTCTGTTTTCTAAAATTTGTGACAACCCGATTATATAGTTATTCCTGCCTTCCACGGACTACAGGGTAAAATTAAAGAATATAAGCTATTATGTACGGTTTATCAGATATTGATGATAGAGTGAACATATTTTGTATTAAATGGTTTATGTGGTTTTGAGATTTGTCGTTAGGTTGTTTGTTATGAACTGTACGTGGTCTTTGACGTAATTTAGAGAAGCTTTTGATTTAGAGACGTAGTTTGTGTGCAACTAGGGTAACCGGTGATAATTTGACGAATTTGAAAGTTAACCACTTTAATTCCGTAGGACTTTTAAACTAGTCCGGCGATTATATTTTATGTATTGATAGTATGGTTGGATAGTTGAGGAGATTTCCGCAAATGAATCTGGGTAGCCGAAGGCAAAAGTTGGATTATTATTGCATTTAAATTTATTGTGATGGACATTGAGACCGTGTTAACATTTTGTCTAGCGTTATTTCAATGTATACCATAATATATCAAATGTCAATATATGAGAATATTCAATATTTGAATGTTTAGGTACAGCCAAAAGGATTATGTTTTAATTCGTACACTTCCCAACCCCGCGGCTGCAGCAGGTGGTAGATTAAATATTTGTGCATGGACGGGAATCTAACTATAATAGCTTTAAAGGTCACCGTGAGTCGTGACCTCTGTATATCACAATTCAATAATATAATACGGTGATGATGAGACGGGCTCGCGTTACGTGCGGGTTTTTTCATCTCCGATTTCCGGTGACATCTTCGACGGGAATTTCCAGTGCTCATCACAATGCAATACAACAATAGTGTACCACGCGTGCTTTATATAACATGGGAGACCACATTGCATTATTAAAATGATCGATGAACGATATTAAGCCGTCGTATTATTATATAGCTCGTCAAAACGTGTAAATTGCCACTTATCGATCACCGCTTTTGCACGCGTATCTACGTTAATGTAATTTACAAGAACAGAATTTTTTATCACTATATTAGTTATATACCATTCTAGTATATTATTATAATGCTGTCGCCGGTGAAAGAATTCTATCAGTCTCCTGACAACCATCGAATGTATGGTATCATACTATAGGGCCAGCAATCATGTTCGCCAACAATGGTTACGCGCATTATCGTGATAATAATAATACTACGAACCCTATCCGTTCAAGTTTTTCTTTTTTCCAATTAAATTTTAAATCATCTGCAAATCTGTTTTTTTTTTTTTAGTGAAAACCACTAATAAGTGCATTTTCTGCTTTTCCACAGGCCTCGAAGGTCAATGATTATATATTTTTCAACAAAAATATGTTTTTGGGCTGGGATACAGATGTTTTATTTTTCTAACGATTTTGCAAAATAGACGTTATGTCCGTCATGGTACTTCTTAACGAAACATATTATTTATGATTCATAGATTTTCCTTGTAGAGGAAAAAATATCGAGTAGCGTGTTTATGGTTTTTTTCTGTCATGAAGCCGAACAATGCTCTACTATTACCCATCAGTTATAACTAAAGCCAACAATTATATGCCCTAAATATCTATAAAATATGTATGCAGTTATGCCCTAAAAATTACCAAATATGCCCTTAAAAATATGCTCTAAAAAAAATGTTATTGTAAAAAAATGATTAAATGATTTATTTTTTTTATGTATTATACAATTTATACTATAATAATACAATATTATTATTTATTGCCAATGAATAATGATTTACAAAAATGTGTGATATTAAAAAATATTTAAAATTAAAAAATTAAAATTAAAAAACAAAAACATTAATCAGATGATAAACATTTTAATTTTTACCCGATGTTATTACATTGAACAATTAATGATTTGTATAAGTTTTCAAACAGCATTGAGCGTCGATTGTCCGTTAACAAATTTTTGTAGCGTGAAAAGGAACGTTCTACATCAACGGATGTAATAGGTGCGTATTTATAATGTAACAAATCGTTGCTGGTCAAATTTTCTGGAATACCTTCTAATGTGGATACTTCACCGGATAATACTTTAGAAATTTTCGTAAGAATATGAAAACCATTATTTTTTTTAAAAACATCTTCACATTTTTTATTAATATCAGTGCCATTTGTACCACTAACTTCACATATTTTACTTCGAGCAGTTTCTATTAATTTAATTGAGTCAGCTAGTAAAACATTCTGGCTTTCTAAAGATGTTATGGTAGTTGGTAAAAATCCATAGTTTGAATAAATAAAAGTTAAATTTGCTTCAACTTGATCTTGAGAAATTAATTTTTGAACTTTGTCTATTGAAACGGCGTCTTCAGGGTTCAATTTCTGTATTACATTTCGAATAGCTTCTATATGTTCGCAATAATACATTGAAGCAGAAATCCATGTACCCCATCTTGTTAATATAGGCGTTGGAGGCAATGGTATACCTGGAGCCTCAGTTTTAAACAAATCAATACGACTTGGCGCTTTTAAAATATTTTTTTGTGTTTGAGACAAGTTCGTCAATTTTTGGAAATTGACCACGAATTTTTTCTGCCACCCGGTGTAGCCCATGGGCCACACAAGTAACGTGGACCATTTTTGGATAAAAAGCTTGTAAACAATTAGCTGCCTTGACCATATATGGAGCGGCATCGCTCAAAAACAAAAGTACATCAGGATGTCGGATTCCATTAGGCCATAATGTAAAAAGAGCTTTATCAACAATTTGACATATTGTAGAGTGGTTGGTTTTTTCGAGAATACCGGAAAAAATTAAAAATATTTTACCTGGTTCATCGGCATTTAAAATACCAATAATTACGTTTGCAATATAACGAGATTGTACGTCAGTAGTTTCGTCGATCGAAATCCAGATTTTCTTATCAAGCACTTCTTTTCGTATGGCGTCCATTGTCTCATTATAGCACTCATTGACATAGGTACTTCTTAATAAAGATACTGATGGAATATCTTTATGCGTATACTTTTCCAGAAACGAACGAAAATAGGTATTTTGTAATTTATTTAATGGTATATTGGCTGCTAACAACGTTTTGCACAAATCTTTATTGAAAGAATTAATTTTTGATGTAGTAGGTAAAAGTTGTTGAGTCTTTTGTTGTTGGTCGCCGAGTCGTTGAATACCACGTAAGTGCTTAGACGTTTTAAGATGTTGTAAAACTGTAAATCGTTTTTCACATGTAACCTTTGCCTCACATATTTTACAAAACAATATATTCCCATCCGAAGAAAATATATTTTCTCCAAATTCAGAGATGTAACTATTGATACGACTAGTGTTGGAAGTTCTCACTTTCGGCATTTTAAAACGGTCGATTTAATAACGCACCACACGAGTATAAAGACCGACTGACGACTGTAATAGGTGCGATATAATATAATATGATATTTATCTGAGATAAATTATCTCTATGCGATACTGTTACCGATATACGGACATATAATTGTTGTAAGATTAGATAACCACTTTTCATAAATGAGCTGAAGTATCAATAATAAGGTATATGAGTGAAACAAATTAATATTTTGTAATTCCCGAGTTTTTAAGATCTTAAATCCAAAAATATGCTCCAAAAATATACTAAATGCTAAAATATGCCCTAAAAATGCAAAAATACCATAATATGCAAAAATATGCGAAATAAAATTTTGTATACAGCATCGTTAGGTTATAAAACAAATTTTGGTATTAACTAGCTATTTTTTTGACCAACCAATAAAAATATGCAAATGCATACAAGTGTTGGCCCTAGTTATAACCGTTACAATTATATGCCTACACACGATTATATTATAATGATTTCCAAATTTCTACTTGACTTGAACATCGGACTGTTTTACATCGATGCAAAATATTCATCCTGTTGGTATTGATACATAATAATATAACCAAACGATTTGGCAGCATTTATTTTGTATATGCGTTATGGAAACTAAAATCTAAACAATAATATACCACCTAATAAACTACGTGTATGCATATTACTTTTGTGTGCTGGTATAATATTTCTTTCAACATTTCAAAACCATCCGTTTTGCCACTTTTCTAAATAAATAAACATGTTTTTTATTACATTATAAGTCACCAGTTAATCATGCTTATACGATAATGTTCAGTGTTAGTTTAATCAAAATCAAATTCAATCCGTCAGTAATGATTGACGATTGCAAACATTTTTATCATATCGTGTTATATTATAAA